ACCTCTCGCCCAGCGTTAGGGTCGCCTTTGCTCCCTTCAGGGTGGTTTTCCAGGGTGGCCTGCGATGCTTTCCCTTGTTATAAAATGAAAGCGGCGTTTGTTTATACAGCCGCTCTGTGTGTGCTGCTTGCAGAGTGGTGGATGCACCAAGGTGGTTCTTCATCATTGGCCATTTTACTTCTGGGGAGTAGATAAAATGCAATTTGAATAACGGTGGTGGATCTGCTTCGAGGTGTCTTGGAGATGGGCGATTGCTGCTTTCCTTCTGAAACTTTACTTTGGGAAGAAATCCTGTCTTTTACTGCCTCCTCCCCCTTCGCTCTACCTCACTGTGTATCTATCTGTTGTGCCACCGTGAATGGCCCTTTAGATTGTACAGAAGTATAAATGACTCAGTGTTTAATTTTTCTACCTAAGACTAATTTTAAACATCCTATGGAAATAGAAGCCTTAAGCAATTTAGAATATTTCCTTTAGTGTTTGACACCAAGGAGGGCAGGGTGAATTAAAAAAAAAAAGCATATTTTTTTTTGACAAGTAATTGTATTATGAGGGGATTAAAAAAGTTCACTGGAGCCCATTTTATGCCCATGAAACAAATGGGATGAGGAAGTGTGTATTTGTGAATTAATTTATATGGCTTGTCTTTCCCTCTGGTTCTAAATGCATGTCATGAATACACACACACACACACACACACACACACACACACACACGTATACATATGGTATTTAAACTAATGTTTATTTAGAAGTGAGAAGTAGCATTCATATCTTGAAGAAGGTATATATTAAAAAAAGCCAAAGTTCAAAGGCACTAGCTGTAGCAGAAGTAAGTGAAATATATGTCATCACTTTTTGCATTGTGATTTCTTGTCCTTTAAGAGCTCCCCCTTGCCTTCCCCTCCCATCAAAGTCAAACCCAAGGCTTCTGGCACTCACTCTAGGGCAGATAACTGTCTGTTTACTGGTGAGCTATGTCTCCAGACTTACCCTTACACCTTTTCATGGAAAGAGACCTTACAATAGCACATTTTTCTTTGCTTTAAGTATCTCAGTAGATTCCAGTTCACTTTTTTAAAAAAATTTAATAAATAGGCTAAATGTGTGAGAAATTAGGGGGAAATAAAAGAAACCACAACTAGTAACTTCTATAGGAATTTGGTGAGGGGTTTAATGAGGAGGCAAATGTCCAAATTCCTTAAAGGTAGTTGTTATAAAGAAAATAAATTTTATTAGGTTTTGTAAGCTTGGAATGTGTGAACAGCTTCCTACTTTAGATATGCTTAAGTACAATAAACAACACCTCAGGAAAAGCTTGTGCAAAATATCCTATCTATTGCCCATTTTTCTATGGTAGTATCTAGAACACGGTGGGTGGAATCAGGATCTCATTCTTCACACTTACAGCAGGTTCTCTGGAGAAAGCCCGAGAGCCTGTGTTAGATAGAATTGGGGCAGCTTGAGAAGAGGCATAGGGATGCACTGGCTTTCCATTTTTGAGTCAATACAATGAAAACTACTACTCTCTAAGGAACTTTCATGTATGAGTTTGATGTCAACTCCTCACAGTTACCTTGTGAAGTAGACAGAGTCCATTCATGAAATACTTTGCCCCCAAATCCAGAGCTCCAAAGTCTGAACTTTAACTCTTATCAAACCGATAAGGCATTCCCATTTATATTTCTGCTACACAGTCAGGGAGCCTCATAGAATCCACTGTGGCAGGAACAGGATTAGATTTAGAGTTTATTAAATATAGGGATGGAGTTCTTCCTTAGAGTGAAGAGACTCTGGGGTTCCCTCCTCAGCACCACAAAAGCCCACATGTGCAGCGGCATACTTGTGTTGAAGCTGTATAGATCATGTTTATTTGCTGTGCAAAGTCAATCTAACAAGATGCTTTTTATTTTAGGGAAAATCCAGAAAGAACTTTTGACTTGGTCTTGAAAGTGAAGTGTCATGCCTCTGAAAATGAAGGTATGTGTGTTCTCTTACTTCCTAATGTACTCGACTACGTCAGAACAAGTGTTAATGCTGTGTTCTGCTGGAGCATATTGTATCAGGAACCTGGTAGTGCTTGATGTCTCAAATTGCTGGTAATAAAATAGATGTGAGATCTTTGCTCTGGGCTTGTAGAAGTCAGGGCTGTTATCTGTGTACTTGGATTTCAACTTACAGCTCAGGTTTGCTCCCTGTTGACAAAACTGCCCTTGTTCGTGGTAAGAAGGCATGCCTTTTCATTTTCATGTCTGTGTTTGAAAAGTCAGCTCCATTAAAAAAAAATACTATAAATTCTCCTGCTAGTACTAATGGGGCCTTCCCCAGGCCCTTCCGATGTTTCTGGAATGCACTATGTATGCTGTATATAGCTCCTTCTGTTGGCTTTATTCCAGTTGCCCAGAACTTGGGGAGGTAAGCATGTGTGACATGACTTACGACTTGGAAGGTTTTTGTTGTGGGTACTACACAATTTTCCGGAAAAACAAATATTTACTTTTTAAAGCACTGTAACTTTTGGAGTATTTTGTGCTTGCTATATCTTCATGGATGTTTTTAGTACATGGCTCGTTAGCAGTATACTTAGCCCCTAAATGGCAAGGCCATTAAGTGTGGGGTTTTGTGGGGACAAGTTAGCCATCCTGAAGCCTGGGTGGGAAGTCTCTGACACTCTTAGTCCTAAGATTAGTCAGCAATTATATACTCTTAAGTAATTTGGCGTTGCACACCTTAAAATAGAGGAGCCCAGCCCAGCTGTGGTGAAATAGGCATGGCTAATTTTAGGTAGGAAATCACACACATTCTTGGCTCTAGAACTTCTGTGAGCTTCATTTCTGGTCGGTTGGGACTACAGCTCTGATCAAGTTCACCAGTTAGCAAGAAGAAATCCCAAGGTTCCAAGTAACCTCTTCCAATTAGAGAAATCATCTGTCATCCTCTGTGTGGTAGAGCTTGTTCATTTGTATACTCCTCAGGAGCAGCCATATGCTGTGTGCTGCTTGGGCATGCTATGCTGAACAGACACACACACACACACACACACACACACACACACACACACACACGTCACATACTTGTGTACATTAGTTTTTCAGACCCCACTTAAATTGATAGTGTATTTATACTATGAGTTACCCTTAGAAGAACTCCACACTGTTAACTTATTGGTAAGCAAAGTGGTACTCATCTGCTATACAGCAGGATGCATTCCATTGGGAAACACAGAGCTTTTTTATTTTAAATGTGTGTTCTTTGGGTCACAAAGCAATCTTATAAAAGTATAAAAGTGCTTCATGTAACAACTGGTCTGCACATGTATTACGATAAATCTTTCTGCCAAAAGCCGCCGCCGCCGAGCCCCACTGCCACGTGTGCACTTTATGCCAGCTGCCCACCAGAGTTAGGGCACAAATTAATACAAAGAGAGACTTGTATTAGGTTCAAATCTGCTTGGCCAATGACTAGGATTCTCATCTGTTAGCTCAGTCTCAATTATCATAAATCTATATATTTTATAAGACTTATTTTATAGAGGATGCCTTTCGCTGGTACCGTCTCTTGCCGGTGGCTCACATCCCACTGCTGGAGGAGGCAAAGGGGAAAAAAGATACTTCCTGTTTCTCCTTGTTTAAATATGAGTCTCCTTGCTATGTCACTTCCTGCCTGGAACACCACTTCTCTACTGCATTTCCCATACTCTTTGACTCCTAGTCCTGTCTAACCTGCTGTCTCATTGGCCAAACAGAACTTTATTTAACCATCAATAAGATAAACATACACAGTAGTACTTCCCCCATCACACATGTGTTAGTGTGTGACCTTCATGTAAGGGCTCCATGGTTTTGTCCTTGCTTCTCCCTCCGCCCCTTATACTTTTTATGATTGGTTATTCCAGTGAAAAGCCTTTACTAACTTCTTTTATTGCCATCTCACCTTGCTGATGCTGTAAAACCACTGCTTTCCAGAGTCATCTTCATTTGTATTTTAGCAGTTTATACAGACTGGCAAAGTTGGAAATATCATAAATGGACAAGATAAACAATTTTGGCTTCTCTTCAAGCTGACCAGTCCATTCTTTTTGTATGTGTTGATGTGTGTGCATATTAGTATGTGTGCTCCTGTGTGTGTGAGTGCCAACATACACTTGCTGGGTGTATATTAGAGGTCAGATGAGACCTTGTTTGAGATGGGGTTTCTTTGCTGCTCATAGCTACTGAGAAAACATGCTGGCTGGCACTTGAGTTCTGGGGGACTTGCTTGTCTCTAGCCCTCCTACCTCCTCTTGGTGCTGGGATTGCATACGTGTACTACCTCACTGAGCTTGGGTTTTGGGGATCTGAACTTAGGTCTCAACATTTGTGAGGCAAGCACTTGACCCACTGAACTATCTCCCTGGCTCAGAGAATTGTCAAGACTGCCTCAGATCAAGGTTTCCTTTTGTCCCCCCTTTCAAGTTTGGACATTGTTGTGTTTGTTCTAAGGAAGTCTGAACACTGAGCTGGAGCCTTAGCTTTAGAGTGTCCACTCTAGCTTACTACCTGACATCAAATTCTAAAGATTTAAAACTTTTTTCCCATTTATTTATTTAGGGGGTGGGGACTGTTTCTCACTGCTGCATCCAGGCCGGCCTCAGACTTTTGGTCTTCCCACTTTAGCTTCTTGAGTGCTGGGATTGGGCTGTGTCATTTCACCTATCAACCACTGTGATAGACTCTGGGTTGGATTTTGGCTTGTCTATGGGGTATGTACTATCACTGTGATAGACTTGGAGAGTAAGCCCTATAAATTAGGATGCTTTTACAAATGTAAAATTGACTCTCAGACTAAGGACATCTGATAGTCCACGTAAGAGTAATGTCATTGGTTTAGTCATCATCTCTTATGAAATTACAAATCCTGTCATTCGAAGGCTTAGGCATCTTGTGATTTCAAGATGGCCATCCCTAGACCTTGGGAGCCTGCTTTCTTGACTATGACTGCAGGTGGTGGAGGAGGAGTCTTTGGCTTTTTGTGACTCTGTCTTTAGAGCCAGACATTTTCTCAGAAAATGTCTTCTTGAACCTCAGTGGCCAGAGTTGTCATGGAAGGACATTGTTGACCCTGTAGAGATGGAGGGCTGTGGTGGGGGTATTGTGATTGGCTTAATAATTAATTGGCAAGGAATAGATATTAGGAGATTAGTTAATCTCCTAATATCTTTGTAAAGGGTTGTTCAGAGCATCACTTTCTTCTCTTGGTGCTTATTTTATCATATGGAAAATATGTCTTTAATCTTCATGTTAAAATATTTGATGATTCTCACTCATTTTTTTTTATAGAGAGCTTAAAATTTTTCATAAGAACCATATGTAACATCAGGGATAAGATTAACAATTTATTTCTCCTCGTGTGAGTGTTTTTGTGTGTATATGGGTGCTTATAGAGACTAGAAGAGGGTGGTGTAACCAGAGCTGGGGTTACAGGTGATTGGAAGCCACCTAACCTCGGTGCTGGGAACTCAACTTCAGTCCTTTGAAAGAACAGTGAGAGCTTTTAGTTGCTGACCCATCTCACCAGCCCCCAGAAATAAGTTATTAACTGAGTTCATTTGGAAATGAATTAGTTGGTGAACTAGAGCTTGACATAGCAGGTATTCATCTAATCTTTTGCTGCCTCGACTTGTTTCAAGGCATGTCATTAATATTCCTGAACCTAACACATTTAAAAAAAATTATTTAGCTTTATTTTATGTGCATTGGTGTCAGATCCCCTGAAACTAGAGTTATAGACAATTGTGATCTGCCAAGCTGTTACTGGGAATTGAACCCAGGTCCTCTGGAAGAGCAGTCACTGAGCCATCTCTCCAACCCTCTATAACACATTTTAGAATACTGAAAAGTAAGTTAGTTTTGTTTGGAGTCCCCTACAGGTTTGAAGTTTGCTGTGAGAAGGACTGGTGGTGTTTCTCTATTTTGTCCCCTGTTTGTTAATAGAGTTGTTTCTGGTGATGTCTTCATGTTAGCTGGGGCCTCTTTTTAAAAGGAGATTTTCCTGGCAAGATAGTCTTCCAGTAGCTCGCATTCCAGCTCTCCAGAGCACAGTGCCACAACTGAGATCTTAATGCTGTTCTTGGTGCACCTCCAAGCTCATTGCCTTTGCCACCCTTCTGCTCGCCCACACTCAACAGAGGCCAGCAAGGACAGACAGTAGAGATGGCTTGCCTGAGTTCTAATAACAAAACTTAACACCACTCTGCTTGCACCACTTTCTCCAAAGAGATTGGACACTTAAAGGAAATGAAAACTCTTGACTGTTCCTTAGTAAAAAAAAAAAGATGCCTTCTCTAAGGTTTTTTTTTTTTTTTTTTTGGGCGGTGGTTTTGGGACTCTGCTCTCTCTTCTTTTTTCTTTTTACCCTGTTGCTACCCTGTTGCTGACTGATGGTAAGAAGCAGGAACAGCAGCAGCAGCTGATTTATGTAGTAATTACTTGCAGCCAAGCACAAGTCTGGGGATTTGAAAACATGTACTAAGTTTTTAGGTCTCACCAAAACCTTCTGGGATAGGAAGTGCTACTCTCATGAAGAAGCCAAAAGAAATTTGTGCAAAGTAATATCCCCATAGTCTGAGGTTAATCACTTCTGTCTTACCTCCCATTGCACAGAGCAGCATGTGAACTCATTGTGGCCTGTTTCATAACACGAGGGCATAGAGTATTAATGATATGTGTGCAGGGCAGGTCATTTTAAACAAGACTACATTGCCTTTTTGTGAAATTAATAAATTCATTACAATTTCTCTAAAAACACTACTAAACTTTTCCTTGTGTAATTCCTTTTATAGATTGATTGATTGAGTCCTTCTCTTCCTTTATAAGGCTTATGTCTCTATATTAAATGACTCTTTGATAAAACACTTGTAGTTATTGGCAGTTCAGGAACATCTTTAGCAAACCTTGCTTACTCTATTCCCATATCATTATCTGATTATTTCTTTTAGGATC